ACTGCCATATATGTCAGGCAGCTGACAAGTCTGCCAAACCTGCATTTTCTCCGTTGCAGCCAGTCCAGTGGCCTAATCGGCCTTGGCAGAAGCTCAGCATGGACATCATCGGTCCTTTGCATAATGTTCCGCAACATGCCCGGTTCATTGTTTTTCTCATCGACTACAATTCCAAATAACCAGAGCTTTGTTTCACACATACGGTTACTTCTGAGGTCATCATTGAGTTTCTGTCTTCAATCTTCAGCCGGGAAGGTTTTCCTTATGCCATAGTTACGGACCATGGCCCACAGTTTCAGTCCCAACATTTCGAGGCTTTTCTCTCACAACGAAGAATTCAGCACCTAGGTCATCAGTTTTCTATCCCTAATCAAATGGGCAAATCGAGCGCTTTACTCGCGTTCTGAAGGAACATATCCAGATCGCCCAATTAGAGCACCATCCCCTCAAGCAAGGCTTGACTGAATGTTTAGCTTCGTACAGCTTCACACCACAAGGCACCACTGGAGTGTCTCCTGCTCAACTTCTCCACAGTAGGCAACCGCGAGTTGCTCTCTACATAGTCTCTTTGCCTCGTAACATAGCAGTGTCGTAACTTTGCACCTCGACAAGCAACGAAAAAGTATGTCGACAACCGTCGAGCTGCAAAGCAGTCCAAAGTTTGCACTGGCGATCTAGTCAAGGTTCGTGTGCCAGGCAAGCACCCCAAGTTTCGGGGTTCCTTACAAAGTCTTGGGCCAGGTTAGCCCCACTTCTTTTCGCTTAAGTGATGATAACATCTGGAATGCTTCGCGCCTTGTTATTTTTCATACGGATTCACCTTCAACACCTAAAAGCCTTCCCCATCAGGTTCCGTCCACGCCTTTCAACTATGCATCAGACTGTTACATGTGGCCTCCATGTACAACCATTCCTTCTTCAAGGAGGAAGGAGCTACCAGTCGGTGTTGCTGGTTCAAGTACACCAAGTCTTATGGTTCACTTCGAACCTTCAAATACTGGCTGAGACCGTTGAACCGGACTCCGGTGCACTAAGTTCTTTCGAAGCTCATGCTGGGAGATCTGATGAGACCGTTAATTTTAACGCTCGTTCAGAGCCTTCACAATCTTCTACTGCTCTTGATGTGTCACATCAGAGCACAAGTGACCAAGGTGCAGAGGCACCTGATTCTACACCCAAAAGAGCCCGCCCTAAGCGGAAGAGGCTGAAGCCGCGTCGGTTGGAAGACTACGTGATGTAGAACTCTTGTTCATTACAATTTGTGAACATTATTGTTCTGTGAAAAGGTCCAATGCATCCAAATCAATATTGTACTGAGTTGTGTACATTTTTTTCAGTGCATTTTCAGGACTTTCATTGTACATTTTTTCAGTGCATTTTCAGGACTCATATTGTGTGAGTTCGGTGTGCCGTGCTCTGAATTTTCATGTGTTCTAATGTACATACCTCGTATAATACGTTGGTACCGATCATGTATAAATAAGAACAGTGTATAGGTGAATTTCTTTGGAGGAGGGGATGATTGTTGTGTTCCGGGTTGTCGGTTTCTGTTTCGGAATGACATGTGAGGATGCCTAGGGGGCGCCGCTCTGGCATCCAGGATTTCAAGGCGACTGTAAAATAAAATGAGTGTGCGTTAGGTAACCGTGGAGTGCGGCTTGTTGTTCTTCTCTTCAGCGCTTCTCGCCAACCCGCGTGTTCGGGCTGGTCAGCGTCCCCGCAGGCCGCGTTCATCTCCGTCGGCCGTCTTCTTCTTCTGCTTCAGTCGGGACCAGCCAGCCCTCAACACAGCACCTACAGAGTCTCGCAAAAAGAACAAGATGTTATACGCCAACAGGTCCAGCAGATGCTCAAGGACGATATCATCCAGCCATCGACCAGTCCCTGGGCGTCCCCCGTTGTGTTAGTAAAGAAAAACGATGGTACCCTGCGATTTTGCGTCGACAACCGAAAGTTGAATAAGATCACGAAGAAAGACGGGTATTCTTTACCACGAATAGACGACTCGCTGGACAGCATTCGCAATGCTTGATACTTTTCTTCCATGGATCTACGCAGCGGCTATTGGCAAATATCTGTTGATGAGCGTGACCGCTAAAAGACCGCCTTCATTATTCCTGACGGACTCTACGAGTTCAAGGTCCTTCCCTTCGGCTTATGCTCGGCGCCAGCTACTTTTCAAAAAATGATGGACACGGTTCTTTCTGAGCTAAGATGGCAATCGTGTCTTGTCTACCTTGACGAAGTGGTCGTCTTCTCGAACACGTTTGAGCAGCACGTCCAGCGCTTACAGGCAGTTCTTCCGGCGATTCAAACAGCTGGACTTTCTCTCAAACCTGAGAAATGCCACTTTGCATTTGAGGAACTGAAATTTCTCGGTCACGTTGTCAGCCACGCCAGTATACACCCAGAGCCTGAGAAAACGAAAGCTGTTGCCACATTTCCTGTCCCAACGAACAAGCGCGACCTCCGCCAATTTCTGGGACTCTGCGCATATTACAGACGCTTCGTCAAGGCTTTTCTAAAATCACAGAACCGCTAGATGAACTTACGAAAGACGGCGTACCATCTGTTTGGGGTCATGATCAGCATCACGCCTTTGACACGCTACGAAACCATCTCCAAGCCCCACCTGTACTCAGTCACTTTGACGACAACGCTACCAAAGAGCTACACATGGATGCCAGCAACGTCGGACTTGGAGCTGTACTTGTTCAATGGCGAAATGGCGTAGAGCGCGTGATTGCCTATGCAAGTAGAACACTATCAACCGCAGAGAAAAACTACTCTGCAACAGAAAAAGAATGCGTAGCCGTTGTTTGGGCTATAACAAAGTTTTGCCCTTATTTATACAGTTGACCATTCAGGGTAGTCAGCGACCACCATTCTTTATGCTGGCTCGCCAACCTCAAAGACCCTTCCTGTCGTCTAGCACGCTGGAGCCTTCGGCTGCAAGAAATTGACGTTACAGTCATTCACAAGTCAGGGCGCTAACACACTGATGCTGACTGTCTCTCACGTGCGCCAATCGGAAGTACAAACGCGGGCGTTGAACAGGACCATACATTTCTTTCCTCTTTATCAGCAACTGACTTGGCTCAACAACAACGCGACGACATGGAGCTAAGCCCGCTAATTGACTACCTCGAAGGCCGAAAACACAGCCTTCCTCGAAACTTCGCACGTTCGCTAGCCTCGTTCTGCATCACGGATGGAGCCCTCTATAAGAAAAATTTCGACCATACGCAGGCTACATACCTACTGGTTGCGCCGACCTCGCTTCGGGACAATATTTTACAAGCTTGTCACGACGAACCATCATACGGACACTTTGGCTACACGCGCACATTGGAAAGAATTCGCCGCTCATACTACTGGCCCCGCTTCCCGAAGACAGTCAAGCAGCACGTCCGCACATGCCGCGACTGCCAACGCCGTAAGACTCCCCCTGTCCTACCAGAAGGACTACTACAGCCTATCGCCACGCCGAAGAGACACCATTCCATGAAATTGGCATTGACTTGCTCGGCTCACTTCCCTCCTCTTCGTCTGGAAACTGGTGGGTTGTGGTTGCCACCAATTATTTAACGCGTTACAGCAAAACAAAGGCCCTGCCCAAAGCTACCGCAGCCAAAATTGCACAGTTTTTCGTCACCAGCATTGTACTTTGTCACGGAGCGCCGGCTGTGATAATTACTGATCATGGTACAGCTTTCACCGCAGAGATGCTTCAAGAAGTGCTGAGATTAAGTGGTACGGTACATCGGAACACCACGGGTTATCACCCCCCAAAAAACGGACTCACTGAACGGTTGAACAAGACCATTGCAGATATGCTGTTGATGTATGTGGCCGTTGATTACAAGAAGTGGGATGATATGCTCTCTTACGTAACTTTTTTTACAATACAGCAGCCCAAGAGAGTACAGGTTTCACCCTAATTTCGCTTAAATCATAGTCGAGAGGTCACTACAATGCTCGACGCAATGCTCCTTCCCAACAACTTGAGCATGTTCAACAAGGACGCTGCATTGTACGCTCAACGCGCCGAGGAGGCCCGTGCATTTCGCCCGACGCGGTATTCAGGCACTGCCAAACTGCCGACGCACACCGCTACAACCTAACACACCGAGAGGTTACCTTCCAACCATGCCATGAAGTTTGGGTGTGGACTCCCATCCGACAGCGTGGTCACTCTGAAAAGTTGCTTCAGTGCTACTTCGGCCCTTACAAAGTTCTGCGCCGACTCAGTGACGTTACGTATGAAGTTCTCCCTGAGGGCACCTCAAGACGTTCCCGTCGGTTTCCACTAAGTGATGTGGTGCACGTGTCAAGGCTCAAAACATAGTTCTCGCGTCATCGATCTAACGTGGACTAACTTGCCATGCAATGACTATTTTTTGTCACTTTCGTTTCTTTTTAATTGTCTTGTGTCCTAACTTCTTTCTTCATTGAGTACTTCTATGACACCAGCCCATTTTCTTTTCTTACGGCGGAGTTTTTGGATTCCATGGTAGCATCTTTTCTTTCTCATATTTTCCGAACGCTCATTACCAGCACCAAGCCGATGCTTTTCGAGGAGAGGAAATAATGTCACAGGTATTAGATATGATTCATCAACGGTAGGTGGAATCACTTGGAAGTGAAGAAAGGAGAGGGCTTTTGCTTCCTGGTCTGAGGGCGAGCAAAACGTCGATTTGTCGCTGTCTGTTATTACGCTCGCGGCAATATTCTGACGCGCTACATACACCTAAGAACAGTACCACGGTAGTTGTAGATGCGTAGCACCCATTTTAATGTTTTATTGCTTGTTGCTTGTTTGCTGAGATACATAGCATAATGCTTGTATTATACAGACGTAAGGAGCTAATTTATGAGAAATAATTCACAGAAAATAATGAGCTGCACTTTTTCTGTGTATATGTCTAGCAATATGTTTTAGTGCCAGTGAAGCGCTTGATCTTAATGTTTCTTTTTGCAAACACATCACACATTCGCAGTGGTCCCTGAGGGCCGAGATTGCACAATGGACTGGGAGTGCGAACGCTCTGGCATGGTATGCATCGAACGCAGCTGCCGTCACAAAGTCGGTGAGTTTGTATTATAGTAACTAATCTGACATATTCTACAAGTCCTGATTTCCGGATGGATGAATGCATGAATGCTGTGAGCGTCTTCTTTATAAAGGGGCGATGACATGTGTGCCATCAGGCTTGCAAAAAAAACGAAAACTATATCTCTCTTTTTATGTTGGCCTTTCGCTTCATCTACTTTGAATAAATTGATCTTAGTATAACAAAAAATGTGTTCGGCCTTTCTGCCTCTACAGGCAGAATGACGGCCTTTTCTCACTATTTCTGTCCTTTAACTGTACTTTTGAGCCACCAATACTGTAACTGTCTTTACACGCTTCAATCATGGACGTATTCAGCTTTCCATGTTTGTCCCTGAAACCCAAAGCCTCATGTTGGGTTGTACTCACACGTATATCTGGGGGGATATCGCCTCGTTCAAAGAGGGCATGTTTTATCGTATGCCTAACTTCCCCGCAGCATGTACAATGTTCTTCTTCTTTATAGAGTCTTGCTTTATTAGTACGCGTTCTAAGACAACCCTACGTCGCTTCGAACAGTAAATCGCTTTCTTTTGAATTATCGTACAACCACTCTTTCCTTATTTGGTTTTCCCTTGCTGCAAAGCCTGTCTATACCATACCCGTTTTTACGGTCTTATTCGTCGTCTTCACATGAGCGCTCAACGCGAGGCGTCCCACGTTCCTTCAATTTACATCCATTTCTGACTGCCGCTCTGACTTCATGCACACCACTTAGTTCCGAAATGTAGGCCCAGAAGTCATTACGCCTTTCGACAGACATCGAAGGACTTCATATCTCAGAACGCTCCGTGCTTAATTATTGCAGCATTCGTGTTTCTTTTTGCAGCCGATGTTTTTTTTTCTTGTACCTCCATATACCTGTCTCCCTCCCTTGCTCATACTCTGAAGTGTCTCAGCTCGCTTACCTTTGGTATTTTTGGCCCTGTATTGACACCGCCTTGTTGTTGTAATCATTGAATATCATCAATACACCTTTGCTTGCACTGAATTCTTCCTTTCTTTCTTTCTTTATTTGTTTCTTTCTGTGCCAGTACAGAAAATGGAGCGAAGGCAGAAGGCTGAAAGCCTGAAAAAAGACCTTTGCTCCAAATACAGTGAGGCAGACAGGCTGACATAAGAATTTTGCAGGATACAGAAAAAAATACAAATTATACAAAAATACATAAGGTACATGTGCAAATACTGTAACACATACAAGAGTAATAAAGTGTTATTTATGGTAAACAGAAATATACATAACCATCTTAATGTTTCAAATACGAATAGATATAAGTTGCGATTTCTCATCGCTATTGCAAGGATATAGAAAAATAACAATATACACAGGAAAGCATAGGTAAAGAACACACGCATAAAAAGCATCAGATACAACTTAGGCAAAGAGGACACATAAAACGATAGCAAAGAAAATTCAATGTTGTTCTCGATCAGTACCATCCTGATCGTATGCTTCGAAACTGTACAATTTATATCTAGGAGGCTGATTATTTTGTTTAACAACATGGGTATCTGAAAAGATGAGTGTTGTCGTCCGTAGATCGTTCGAGTCTTCGTAGTCCTTCTAGCGTAAGTACCAAAATCGTACAGAGAACCACGAGAATCCAGTGAATGATAGAGTCTATTGCGTTTTATGTACTGAAATAACTTAAAATAATAAATCTGGTTTGCTTTGAGTATGCGATATTTTGAAAATAGCGGTTCTGTCCGCAAGTCACGTATAGGGCCACGAAAGTCTTCAAAGATTCTCAGAACCCTCTTTTGTAGAATAACCAATTTAGAATAGTTTGTTAGTGTTGTAGTCCCCCACACAAGAGCGCAGTAAGAAAGTCGTGAGTAGAAGACAGTATAATAAAGGATGTTTTTTAGCCACAGTGGTATGAGAGAATTTAACCTGTATAAGCATCCAATACTTTGACTTTAACTTTGCTATGTGTTTATCATATGGTGGTTTTGGACGTTAAACCCCACAAATCAATCAACTTTGCTATGTGCTTATTCTAAGATAGGTCTTCTTGAACTTTTGGCTGTTAACTTGTTCTAATATGTGTCCCTGGTAGGTTATAGTCATATTAAAATTTCTTGGTTTATTCACGGGCGCAAACAGAATGTACTTGGTCTTATTTGCGTTCAAGCACAACTTATTAAGTTTTAACTATGACGAGAGTCGATTCAAAAAACATTCACGTTCTCTTCAAGGTCGACAAGTGAACAACTCTCGAAAAAATGTTTGTGTCGTCCGCGTACATTACTAGTTTGGGGCAATCTAGAATGTGGCAAAGATCATTGATATAAATTATAAATAGGAGGGGACCAGAATTGATCCCTGTGGCACTCCTTTCTCGACTACGACGTAGTCTGAATGCACGTAATTTATGCTCAAAAATTGGTGTCAATTTGCTAAATAGCTTTTCAATAGGTCATGTGCAATTCCTCGTATACCACATGAGCTTAATTTATGCAAGAGGATGTCATGACATGCGGTATCAAACGCTTTGCGCAGATCCATGGATAGCCCAACTGCATATAATTTTTTCTCAAAATTCCCTATTATGTGATCTTTTATTTGAAATAATGCAAGCTCTGCAGACTTATTTTTTGGAAGCCAAATTGCGCATTATTTAAAACAGTGTATTAATCAAAAAAATCCTGGAGCCGCTCGTTCAATGTACTTTTGTAAACTTTCGAAAGAACAGGTAGCACTGATATGGGCCGATAGTTGGTGATGTGTTTTGGATTGCCGCCTTTAAAGATCAGACATACGCGAGCAATTTTCAGCTTATCTGGGAATATGCCCGTGGAGAAACAAAGATTGATGATATACGCTAAGGGAGCAGATAACACATCGGCCACGTATTTTATCGGCACAGGTTTTATTTCGTCGTACCCTGCTGCACATTTGTTTTTTATTTTCCTAATGCTTTTTTCAACTTCGATGCATGTGACAGGGGTTAACGCAATTGTATTGGGAATACTATAACTATTTGACAACAGATGTAGGCCCTCACTATCGGTGTCATCTTGGGTGTCACAGCACGTTACGAAATACTTGTTGAATGCTGTTTCTGCATTAACATCACTAAGGACACCCGCTTCTGTCTCTATGGAAGTTACATTGCTGCGAGGTTTGTGGCCCAGCAGGCCTGTGACCTCATCCCAGATTTTCCTTGGGTCATTGCTTATTCTGCTGAAAACATCTGCGTAATAGTTTATCTTGGCCTGTTTCAGCTCATAATTAGGTTGATTTTTGTACTTCTTGTATTCCTTTGGCATATTCATGTGGCGGGACTTGACAAATGCATGAAACATGTGGTGTTTATTCTTTATGTTGTATGCAAGGCATTTGAAATTCAAGGTTTTCTTATTTTTTTAATCTGTTGTTTCTTCATAACCTTCGGAAACGCAATATCGTAACAGTGTTCTCGTTTTACGAATAATATCTCATATGAATCAATTGCGTCTGCTACCTGAAGCACACGCTTCCAGTCCTCTTCAATAATTCATTGACGAAATACCTACAGCATTCCTGGATCATAAAGGACATTGATTTTACGAAATACCACCTTTTCATTATTATTCTCTTGATAGCAGTCACGTGATATAGGAAAGACTAAAAAATGGGTAGATGATCGTTTATTTCTAAAGAAAGTGTCCCAGCGACACACGATAAAGAGCATACGTTCATGATGCAAATATCAAGCAGAGTTGCCGTTTCAGCCGTCACTCGCGTGGCTTTTGTGATAACGTTTTCACAAGCGAAGTAGTTCATAACCTCTGTTAGCTGTCGAGCTGAGGCATCCAGTGAAAGCTTATCAACGTTGACGTCACCCATGATCGCAAAATCTAAACTCGAATGGCAGGAATAATTCAGCACATTTTCAATCGACTCCAGAAATGCTGGCTTACTACCTGTGGGTGGCCTGTAGACCACGATTATAAGTGCCCTAGGCAGGCGCATCACTAAGAATTCAATGTTTTTGTTCACACTGAAAAATTGAGGAATAAATTCATGGTTAATTGTATCCTTGACCTAAATGGCCACACCACCTCCTCGTCCTCCAGTACGCACAAGGCCATTATAAGTATAACCTTGAAAATAAGGAGGATCTTCACCACTCCTTAGCCAGGTTTTTGAAAACATAAGCATGTCAAAAGCAAAAGAAAGCTGAGAGAAGTAGTCATCCAGCTGATCTTTATTACGTATGCTGCGTACGTTCACAAGAAACAGTGTTAATCGCTTGTGAGCGTCGTGCAGCAGTGAATTGAAAGATTCAAGCTCATAATAGCACACTTTTGCCATTTAGGTAGTGTTTCGACAACATAATAACCCCTAATACAATTTAATCTGCGACAGCTTGTCACTGACAGCCTCTGCTGTCATTTTACTTAGATCGTTGGTAGTGGCTATTCTGAGCTCCTGCGAACTTTCGTTTCGATGGGCGAATACCTTCCCATTTGTTGTCCAGACAAACTTTCACTTCATCTCCCTTTTACGTTGTATTGCGGCCCCAAGCAGTCGTTTGCCATTCCTTGTCAAGTGTTCATTACCGTACACTGGGGATGACACTTGACTTCCCAGTACCCCACTGTCAATTTTAGCTTTCCTTGCCTTTCTTAGCAAGGCATTCCGTTTAGTTATTCTCACAAAGCAACAACTATGTTGCTTACATCATGCCGAGAAGAGGGCACTCTATGGCATGTGTCAACATCATCCTCAGAAATTTCTTCATGCACAATAACTCCAATTTTCTTATCAGCCTCGAATGGTTCAGGTTATTGGAACGCTAGTACTGCTCGACTTCTTCGACCCTGCTCCGCAGTTGGGCATTTTCCACTATTAGGTCCTTGTTTTCTTTCAGTATCTGACTAAGGCCCTCTTTGAGGTCCTTTACTTCTTTCAAACTGTCCTTAATCTCTCGGAGCTCTTTTTTTAATTCGTGGCGTAGGTCGTCGATGGCCTTTGCCTTGTCACGCAAA